ATGTTCGTAAATAAATTTTAACGCGATTGTTATTTTAAGAATGATTGCTGATTCAGCTATTGGATAGTAGTTAGATTCTGTATAAGTACTAATGAATTTCTGAATAATTATAAATTTATTAAAATCAATTCTCATACGAAGAGAGGTTTCCCAGAGTGAGTCTATGATTATATTATATAAATTATATTTGTTGGTAATTTTTTTGTTAGAAAAATTAATTATTATATTATTAAGTAATTCTTTAGTAATGTTTATAAATTCAGTTTTCGTGGGATAATTCATGTGTGATGTAGGTATTTATCAGAATAGATTTTTTTGCTTAATTTAATTTTTATGAAATAAATATATTGATATTAAACTTGTGTGTGTAAAATTGTGTTTTGTTCAAGACGTTCAAAATTAGGGACGACGGCAAGTATAGTATTTATATTATTTTCATATAAGTAATTTAATACTAAAGATACTTTTAGTAGTAGTGTAGTTTCCGTAATAGGAAAAGAATTATTGGTATTAATAAATATGAAAAGAAATTTTTGTATTAATTGTGTTTTTTGAATATCGATGTTTAAATGTAAGGTGACTTCCCAAAGAATATCCGTAATTATAGTAAGTAAATGATATTTACACCGAATAGTGTTATTACGATAATTATTAATTAATTCTTTGTATATAAATTTGACAACAATTATGAATTCTTTTCTAGTCGGATTGTTCATTAATATTAGTTATTATATTTTAATTAATGATTAATAATTTGTAAATGATAGATGTGTAATAAAATTTTTTTTTTGATTTTTATAAGAAAAATTTTTTTTTTTTGAAAAATTACGTTATATTTTATAATTGGAGAAATATTAATTTTACAAATTTTTTTGCGTGGATGAGAGCTGTTAGTTGGGCGCCATTTGTAATAAACAAAAAAAAAGAAAAAGGGGGTATAAGTTAAGGGGGGTAAAGATGGTATTAATGAAATCGTATCTCGGGGTCTAACTATATTTATTTATTAAATAATAAAATATCCCTACCTCATTTATTCCTATTTTTGTTTATTACGTGATTTTTTTTAAATAAGACATGCAAATAAATATTCGCACTTACCTTTATTTCCTTTAGTAACTGATTGAGTTGGTTTTATGGTGATTTCTTCTTTCAGTGTTAACTGTCGTTTATACTGTTTGCGTTTATTTCGATAAATTAGTATCTCTGTGTATATAAGACTTAGAAAAAGGATTCTCTATAATGGGACCTGCGTCTATTATAATTTGTTACCCCTGTTTTTTTATTTATTTTCTTTAAATTCCTATTATATTATACTATGTTATTACTAATAATATTTGCGATGAATTCCCTACAGTCGATATCGATATTCTTAAAATTTACTCTGAACTAGTCAAAATATAATTATAAGAATATGTCTATCTATATTCAAAATATAATTAACAAGACTGTGGTGGCCCAGCGTTTCTCAGCGTAAAGCCTTGGCTGGCGCGGACACAGTTACCTCGCTAATATATTTTAAATATTATTTCAATACATCTTCTACTATCCTTTACGTCAACTGCCTACACGTTACCGAAAGGTAATTGGCATAGTCCTTTATGGCTGGCGGGTACACACGCAGAGAATATTTCCAAGATGTAGTTTCCTATCTTACGGACTATATATTTTATGATGAACTCTACCCGGACTACTAGCTCTAGAACTGGCTTGTCGACGGATATAGCGCACTTCAAAAATACTCTTTTTATAAGGTTAGTACTACTCTGTACCTCAACTGCCTACACGTTACCGAAAGGTAATTGGCATAGTCCTTTAAGGCTGGCGGGTACACAGGCATAAAGTACTACTACTAAAACTAGTTAATTCTAATCACAAATTATGCTTCTCCATTTAGTTCGGCACATTTAAGGCTGTTCATAAATGTAGGGCACAATAAGCTTTATTATGAATATACGATAATGTATAAGGCTATTATGCCTGTATAAATAAAATTACGCTTCTTCACTCTTTTCGGCACATTTGAGGCTGTCCAGAAATGAAGGGCACAATAATATTTAAAATTCTTATATATTACAAACTATGTCTAAATAAATAAAATTACACTTCTTCACTCTTTTCGGCACATTTGAGGCTGTCCAGAAATGAAGGGCATAATAATATTTAAAATTCTTATATATTACAAACTATGTCTAAATAAATAAAATTACACTTCTTCACTCTTTTCGGCACATTTGAGGCTGTCCAGAAATGAAGGGCATAATAATATTTAAAATTCTTATATATTACAAACTATGTCTAAATAAATAAAATTACACTTCTTCACTCTTTTCGGCACATTTGAGGCTGTCCAGAAATGAAGGGCATAATAATATTTAAAATTCTTATATATTACAAACTATGTCTAAATAAATAAAATTACACTTCTTCACTCTTTTCGGCACATTTGAGGCTGTCCAGAAATGAAGGGCATAATAATATTTAAAATTCTTATATATTACAAACTATGTCTAAATAAATAAAATTACACTTCTTCACTCTTTTCGGCACATTTGAGGCTGTCCAGAAATGAAGGGCATAATAATATTTAAAATTCTTATATATTACAAACTATGTCTAAATAAATAAAATTACACTTCTTCACTCTTTTCGGCACATTTGAGGCTGTCCAGAAATGAAGGGCATAATAATATTTAAAATTCTTATATATTACAAACTATGTCTAAATAAATAAAATTACGCTTCTTCACTCTTTTCGGCACATTTGAGGCTGTCCAGAAATGAAGGGCATAATAATATTTAAAACCTTTATATATAAGTAGATATAATGTCTATTTGTCGGGAGAATATTAGGTGATAATAAAATAAATAAAAACTTGTTCCTGTGTA